TAAACTAAAAGAAATATTAAAATGACAAATAATAATAATCACAATTCAAATAAGAATATGAATAATAATAAAAAAACAAAACACATAAAAAATAAAATAATGAAAATAAGACAGTAATAGTAAAAAATCCATATAAAATACTATTATTTACAGACTTCATTGAAGTAATATATTCTGTCATAAAAAAAAACCTAAACAAAAGCAAACTCCCAGCACAAGATACTAAAAAACACAAACTAAAACACAGCACATGATCGGTCCTCTCTCTCTTCAGCCTTCTGAAAGGTCTCTTTTAAGGCTTAGGCTCCTCCCCCACAACTACACCAGCCATGCCTCTGATAGGGCTTAAACACACTTTAAACCTTTTAATAATTAAAGAATAAAATGTACATTTTCAGGATTTTTTAATCAACATTTTTAATTAATAATGTTTAAAACTCAAAAAAGCAGAGAGTAGCCAAGAGTTACCATGTACAATTTTTCAGCCAGAATTACCCCCAGGGGGAGGTGTGTGTGGGGCTGATTATCAGCACAGCAGTGACACTTACATGGCAGTGTGTTTTACACTGAGTGTGGTTTTAGCACTGCTGGGTGGTGAATATTCTGGCAATCAGGAATGTGTGGCGAAAAGTGGAAGCTGACCGCTGATAAAGGCCTTCAGGATGATTAACATAAACTGTACATGGAAAAAATGAGTTGTGCTCTGTACTGAACTCCTACAAGGTGGAGCTGCATGGTAGGAGTTTCTAATAAATCAGCTGTGTTAAAAGATTCAAAATAATGAAAAATATTTTTGATCGGTGGACGATTCTCAGTCCAGCAGTGTTACTGAGGTGTTTAAAAACTCTGAGTGTGTCTGATCCACTCAGACCAGCACAACACACACTAGCACACCACCACCACTTCAGTATCTCTGCAGTGCTGAAAATGATCAACCTCCTAAATAAAACCTGCTCTGTGGTGGTCCTGTGGGGGTCCTGACCATTGAAGAGCAGGGTACAAGGGAGCTAACAAACTATGCGGAGAAACAGATGGACTACAGTCTGTAATTGTAGAGCTACAAAGTGAACCTACATGGTAAATGAACTTGATAAAATGGGCAATGAGTTTAGATACAAGGAGACATCAGGTAGGTAACATTCTTCTTGCATTTGCCAAACACAGACTCGTTCATCAGACTGTCAGATAGAGAAGCTTGATTCTTCACTCTACAGAAAACTCCAGAGTCCAGTGGGGGTGTGCTTTACACCATCTGATGCTTGGCATTGTGCTTGGCAATGTAAGTTTTGAATAAAGTATTGCTTAGTTTATTCAACATATTTCAACTGTACTGGTATATTAAGGTGGGCCATATCAAGGCTTACACGTCTTAACTGTCAGGGTTGCCTTTAAAAAGGCCCACACTGTATAGATGCTTCATTATCTACTGCTACATTATGCAGCCTCTATTGACCTCCAGCAGGAGAAACACACACATAAATACTCTCATTTATTTCAGGAATCACTTTATACTTTGTTGTTTGATGTGTGTGGTATCTACACATTAGCTGAAGAACCATGTAACCAAGGCACTAAAGACACTGACTTACTGGAACAATATCATAAGTGTTTATGAAGACATCACCATCGATGTAAACTGCAGTCGTGTTCTTTAATGGTGTACAGATGAAACTAGTGACATGCCAGGCCAAAATGCAGAGGAAGTATCTGTTTACCCGATTATCTCAACCAGCAAACTACTTATAGTCACTGTATAGACGCATACGTGTCTGGATCTATTAACACATTACATTTACTCAATAAAGTCAGAAATCAGCCAAGACATGGTGCTAACAAGGCAGTTACGTTTTCTATTTGTGAAATCTGTGATGTATGTGTAGTTTAAAAACATCACTGTACAGTAGGGACAATTGTTTTGAAGATTTAAATCCTACAGTGTGCAAATATGATCACATACGAGCGCAATCACCTCAGAAACACTAAAAAATGTCAGCATCAATGCAGATCCACTACTTTGTGTACATTAATGAAGATTAAATTAGAATAATTTGCTCTGTAGTTTTGTTTTGTAACTGGTTTGTCATGTTTTTGACTGATTGTGTAAACAACACTATAAACCGTGTTTTAGATGATCAGTGCCTTCATCTCTGATAAGAATTAGCTGTGATTGGCTAAATACATACATATGGTCAATCACTTTTCTCTTTAACCGTTATAATTATTTGTTCTTTGGGTTCTGTAGTTGTGGTCTCTTATAATATTTATGATTTATTATCCAGATATTCAGTATATTTTCACGTTCATTTCTGGATTTCAGCGCAAGAGTTTTGTAACAGTGTATGTAAACATTTGCTGTGTGAGCTACAGAAATACACAGTTTTGTTAAACCCTTAAAATCTCAGATTTATCACATACTAAAGATTATAATTCAGTAACTACAGAGACTTTAATGCAAACTGTCTGGGCTATTCTCGGGTTATAGAAGTGTAAAATAAAACTTTGGGCCTGCTGGTGAGGCCTGGACATGTAAGAGGTTAAAGGCTAATAATGAGTCTGAAAATAACTAAAGAATTTTGGAAATTATGATCACTGAATGCATTTTTGCTCAACTGTGTGAAGGGTTTTGAAAAAGAGAACTCTTGAAAATTATTCTTAGCAACTGTAAAAATATTGAATGTGAAACATTTCCAAACTTCAAAAGATCACTCCAAGTAGCCATCATTGTGGAGTGTAATTTTTAAATGACCCTCTCTCTCCTATTTCCTGTAGATACTTGTAGGCCTCTCTCTTCCTCAAAGTGAGGATGTGTGTTTTTAGCGTAAAGTCGAAGCTTCTCAGAACTCCTGCTCAGTTCATTCCCCTCCCACAGTCCTAAAATCACTCCTCACTCTAGATCACAGGTGCACTGCTAAGTATGAGCCTAGTTTGATCTAAGCTGCTCCAGCTAAAGGTGACCCTCCTCCACTCCTGAGATGTGTGACCATTGTAGAAAAGTTCTCTGAAAATAATTAAAATATAACATATAACGTTGTCACAGGCAAAGGTGCTGAGTTCTTGCCTCCTAATGACTATTTAACAGCTTACTGTTATCATCATGGCAGCATTTACACAGCTACATGACTTCAGAGGTTGTCCAAAAAAGGTACAAATTACACTTTTTTTCTTTAGTGCGAAAATGTAAGCACAGGAGACTGCTTCACTGTTTCTCCTGATTGTGAAAACTTAGCTGACCTGTTTTAGCTCCTACAGGCTACTCACATTACTAGTGAGTAGTACACCGATCAGGTATAACATTATGACCACCTCCTTGTTTCTACGCTCATTGTCCATTTTATCAGCTCCACTTACTATATAGGTGCACTTTGTAGTTCTACAATTACAGACTGTAGTACATCTGTTTCTCTGCATACTTTGTTAGCCTCCTTTTACCCTGTTCTTTAGTGGTCAGGACCCTCATGGACCCTCACAGAGCAGGTACTATTTGGGTGGTGGATCATTCTCAGCACTACAGTAACACTGACGTGGTGGTGTGTTAGTGTGTGCTGTGCTGGTACAAGTGGATCAAACACAGCAGTGCTGCGACAGAAAAGATGTTTAGTTTTTCCCTAATGTTTTTATGTTTTTCAGGTGCATTGGAAACTGCTGCTGTGAGAATCACAGAACTGGAGGCCAAGCTCGGAGAATTAGAATCTCAGCTCAGGGACCTGACTGCCACAAAACTACAAATCAACAGACGTGTCCTGTTCTTTAAATTGAGACATTTAGGCCCAATCCCATTTCTCCTTTTTACCCCTACCCCTTGTTTTCGAGTGTCACCCTAACCCCTTGGAACTGAGTTACAAGGGGTAGTGGCTACAGAGCTTCCATTTCGTGGGTCAACCCTCAAATAAAAAAAAATAAATAAATAAAATAAAAAATAAATAAAAACATTGCTTCGTTAATAGCCTAGTAGCGGTGCTCTGCAGGCGACTTCAGAGTCTGCCGGCCCGTCTTCAGTGACAGCAGAGAAGGGAAAAGTTCAGCAACCTCACTGCTGGGCTTTAGTTACATTTAAGGGCATCATATGCTTTCAAAGAGGGGGTTTAAGACAATTATTTATTATCGCCCACCGCTAATTCTTGAGTGCTACGAAGCTGAAGTCAGCTATTCACCAGCTTCTTGTTCGAATTTTCCCGTTCCACCTTAAATGGTGCAGCAGTTACATTCTGGCGCTACAAGCATCAATACTGCTGGACTATTGAAGGTGGAACGGGAAAGTTAGCTAGCTAGCTACCGAGACATTAGCATACTATTAGCGATTTTTATGCTTGTTATGAAGAAAAAGACCATAATACATTGAAACGCCATTAAACTAAGTATTACAATGGTTATCGTATTTTTTAACAGAGAAAATACTCACATTTGTGGGTTTCTTTGGTCGCTCGCGCATCCATCTTGCCGGGTTTTCTTTTTTCCCTCATAACAGTCCGTTTGGAGTGTGCCTCTGAAAAACCTCCGTTTGGAGGACCATGTAGCCCTAGCACTTCGCCCTATCTCAACAAAAATTGGGGCACCCTTACCCTAGACGTGAACGTGCAAAACAGAGGGCTAAGGGCTAAGTGGTAGGGTCAAGGGGTTAAATGGGATTGGGCCTTAGTGTTTCCGACACTAACGCACTACAATGACTTCAAGAAGGGCCTGTAACTTTGACTGTGTGTTGGAGCCCGGAGAACATCAACTAGATTTAAGATGAGTTCACACGCCAAGATAAAACAGCCCACTGCTTTAAAAATGTGCGTACAGGCGGCGGGGGGGGGGCGGTTATTTTGGCTAGAGCCCCGAAATCACTAAATCCACCCGTGAACGCATCATTAGGAGGCCTTCTGGAGACGCGCAGTGTATCTGATATACACACGGCTTCTTCCCATTCCATCCAGCAGATGGCGCTACAGTCCACAGTGGCTGGCTGCTAGGGAGACAGTAGAGGGACAAATCAGAGCTGCAGCCATAGCAGCGAGAGGAGGGCCAAGTAAACAACAAGGACGCAGAACAGAACAGAACAGAGTAGAGCAGAGCAGAGCAGCATCTCACGGAGAACTTTACCGCGGAGAACTGGACCTCTGGAGTCCACACTTCAGTCCACATGCGCAAGATAGGACGGATTTTGTTACTGACGACAGTTTCGCTCGATAAACCGTGACTTTTATCATTAGAACATGTTTTAGGAGACGCTAGCTGGCTGGGTACGTTACTCTGTAGCTAAGCAGCTAACGTTAGTTTAGGTAAGCTAAGCTAGCTGGCTCATAGTCTGGAGTTAGTATTTGTTGTTAGTCAACATTAGAAAAATATCGTTTGATTATTTTGAGGCGAAACTGCTGCTTGCTTTAGCATTTAATGCCGAGAATATGGCGTTTAAGTCGTCGTTAGTTGAGATTTAGACAGGTTACCGTAAACGTTAGCTGATATAACGGTTTAACTAACGTTAGCTGAACTACTTTGACACACACTGTAAGTGAAGATGATTGTTTATAATCAGTCACTATGACTGGGTTAGCCTTAACTCTTGCCCAAGGCTAGCTAGCTTAAACTACTAGCTAGAGAGCTGTCGTTACCTAACAGTGCTCAGAATGGCATCGCTAACATTATTTAGGTCTCCAAATCCAGCAGCTAAAGTTGAAAGTAGGTGCTGCGAGACAGTATGCTGCTAAATGTTGCGTTTAGCTAATAAACTAGCAGTTTATCAGATAATTTAGCTATTTCACAAAGTTGTCTTGCAAGCAATTTGCATGAGGTAGCTAAAAGGCTTCCAAGTCCCATGTGTTTGAATTGCCATGTTCAGTCTGATGGCGAATTGCTGCAGCTGGCTAAAACGGTGGCGTGAACCTGCGAGGTGAGTCTCCACCCCAAGTTTAAAGTTTACTGTTAGTTTTCTGAAAGTCTAAAGTTTTAAACGAATTGTTGAAATCCGAATCCTGCCCCAGCCTTACCCTTTACCTCTTGCTTGACCAGTTAATTGCATTCTGCAGGGCATTTAAAGTAATATGACTTATTAAACTTGCATTATAACTTGCCATTTTTGTTCTGCACTTCAGTCATGTGGTCGTAACATCAAAGGTACGCAGTGCTGTAAACGTGTACTGACGTGTGTGCAGATGACAGTGGCCCTGCAAAAAAAGTACACAAGATTGTCCATAGTGTGAAATTGAGGTTGGCATTCATAAATTGATAATTGGAGGAAACTGACATTCATAAATTAATTAACTCATGGTTTCTGAGTACTGGTCCTGTATGTTTTATCTTACAAACGTGACACGGCTCGCTTTAATCGGACTGTTTGTTCCCCCCTCAAACTCTATTCATAATTAAGTCATTAAGATGTAATCAGTCTTTCGGAGTGGTTTAATGTATAGTGCTACATTCTAGAGAGACTTACCGAGTCAAAGTTTACACTGGTGGTGATAGGAACCAAAGGTCCAACATGTTTAATGCCTATAAAGGCTCCCTTACAGAACAAACTATTTGATTAAATGGTTATGAGTACGCCTCCTGATGCCCAATAGCTTTGAGAAGTTTTTGACCTAAAACTTATTTTTTTAAATGCATTTGTGACACAGAGGTATATGCAGGTTGTTATCAAATAAAACTTTTTTTTTTTCCTCCAGATTTACACATGTAAGATTTACACAAGACACATGTATTTTCATTGGTCATTTTGATAAATGGTAGAAGGCATGGCATCTTTTGCGATGTAGACTTCGTGACCCCTTGGTTCATGTCACCACCACTGTAAAGAAATCTGACTGAATGAGTCTATCTACAGTGAACCATTTCACATCAAACCACTCTGAATTACTTTGTTTACATCTTTGAATCAAGCAGAGATTTTGAGAAATTGGTGGAGTTTCTGTGGATTTTGTGTGGAAAGATGCAAAAGAAACCATGAATAGTTTTGTTAGTGTTACCATCCAAAAAGATATCCAGTCAGATGACCAGTCACGTAACTGTCAGGTCCTGGATGTCATGAATAAACAGCACAAGAAAAAATGAACTAAAAATGATCTCCTTGGCATCAGGGACACTACTATTTAATGGGCATTATATGCTAAGTATAATATTCATATATGCACGCACGCATGGGGGGGTTCAGGATACTCCATCAAGTGGCTGGTCAGTGTATATTGCCCAGCACTGTCTGCAACGGTAAAACATTCAATCCCTGTCATAAATAAGTTGCTTCTAGTTAACTCCAAGCCCAAGTTTAAGTCCTTCTCTATATATGATCTGCGATTGAGCCCTGTTGCTCGACTTCTTCCATATGCCTATTGGAGCATAGAAGCAGTTGTAACTGAAGATTGCTAAGGTGAATTCAGGACACCTGGAGGAAGTGAACAACCATGAAACATCTGTCAGCTTCAGTAAAAATTGTGCTTAGTTCAGTTGAGAAATGGAGGTGCTTTGTTGGAAAATACTCATGGCTTTTAGGCTTGACAAACACTAAGTGGGTTCCATGTTGCACTGTCTTGGCCTCAAGATTTAGGCTTATTGAGCGTCTCAGTGCTCAAACCCTCTCACTGTATGTGATCACAACAAGTGACTCACACTGAGGCTCTCAGCTTTAAGTGATAAATCTCCTCACTGACTCATCGCCGACTACGCAGTCAGTAAATTCTTCATTAGCCTTTATTTTGGTTTGTCCATTGCTCTCACTGTTACGTTGAGCCAATAATAAAGGAAAAGTTTATACATGAAAAAAAAGCCGCCTTCGTAACTCCCAAATATAGACCAGTTGGAGGGAAATACGATGGGACATTAAACTTAATTAATACAAAAAATAAGGAAACCCTCCCCAGTTGTGTTGGGTGGAATGGTGACCATTACTTTAGTTTCTCCATGCTCGCGTGTTTTATAGTTTATTTGTGCTTTGAGAACGTGAAATAAATTTGACAATGATATCATAATTTATCATGATAATGATATGTCATGATAGGCTTTTCTCACTGTATTTTGGTTATTAGAATTACATAAAGAATACTGACCAATTGCTTGTTTCATTAAAAAGAGGTTTAGCCCTGTTGTCAGAAAATCATGGATGATGCAGGGTGTCCAACAGAGCATAACTGTCTCTGCTTAAATTTCACTGCTTTTTCAAAGATTCTGCATAAATCAATCATTCAGACGTAAACAAAGTATCAGCATCAGCAGATGATTGCATCAGGCAGATGTGTAGATTTGACCGATAATTCAAACCCATCCTTAATGTCATATTTGTTGTAAAATGTTAAAGTGGTTTATTAAGGAATTTGGATTATTGGCCGTCTTGCTTTCTAGATATGTTTATTCGATAGTTAACACTGGTAGCTCTCTTGAACTGGCACACTACACATTTGTGTGCGCGCACACACTCTCACACAGGCTACAGTTACACAGTTTCATCTGTAGAGTTGAGCAAAGCTTGTATTTGAAAGTTTAAGCAAAAAAAAAATCCTCATTCTGCTACCACGCATGCTAAAACATTAGAATCAGCTACATAGCCAAGAAATAAACAAACATTACTCAGCGCTGCTCTCTCAACCTGGCAGAGCACCATGTTAGAAGTTCTAACTGTTTTTTGTTTTCATAAGGCCCAATGATGTCTCTGAATATATTTACTGCTTTCTTTTAAGTGAATGTATTTGCATCAACCTGACAATCCCAATTCACATGTTCTTCTAACATTGCTATGAAGTCTAATGTGGAAAATGATCAGTTTAAAAAATTGATCATCTCAAGTTATTGCAATTATGTAAAAATTGTTTCAAGCCTACTTCAAGTGTCAATATTATATTTTTGCTATATTGTTCACCCCTACTGTGAAGTAAGCAGTCAGGCTCGGTGCTAACGTGCTTAACTAACATAGTGTCAGTCTCTGCTTACATGTGATTGTGTGAGCAGCGCTTGTCCTCTAGCACCCTGACACTGATCCTTTGGGGCTGTGCAAATCCCTGGTTAATCCCGGTGCAAAGGGGCTGACCAAGGCCAAGACGGGGGACAGTGTGTGCATTTGTTTGGTCTCTGGGGGATCGTTGTAAGACAGGATACACCTGGCTAGTTTGCTGTGCTGTTTACGATATCGATGACGGCCTCTTGGCTACAGAGGACGGTCACCTGGATAGTTCGGTTGATGTCATTGCGGCGCAAGTGCCGTAGTTAAGTATCTGTGTATGTCTGTGTGTGGTAGTAAGAGTTTTTCCTTTTGATGTTTTCCATTGTGTGTTTCTGTAGTGGGAGGTGTTAGCTGCCTCAGGATGGTTTGTTTAAGTTGCTTAGTGCCCATGTTTGTCCTGCGTTCTCCAGGCAATCTGACACGGCTTAGGTGGTGGAGTTGATGAAGGTGCCAAGAAATCTTCTGAAATCTTCCTGCACTGCTGTTATCTAAAATGTAGGGAACCAGCTAGGACTGGAACCGTCCAACATTCCCTCCAGAATCAGCAGTTTTAGGTTTATTTTTGTCGAACTGAGTTGTAATGGTATGGTGTGAATCAGGGGTATTTAGCTGTGATCCTGGAGGGCCGGTGTCCAGCACAGTTTGGTGATTTGCATGCTCAGACTTACCTGATTTATCTCATCTGTTAATATCCAGATTTAGTGGGTGTCTTTGAGTAGGGTGTTTACCAAATTGTGCTTGCCCTCCCAGACCAGGGTTCAGTAACCCTATTGTAAACACTGTGCCCCAGCTAAGTGCATGTGCCCTTCATGCCAGATGTGTCTGCTGACTGGAAATATTTTAGAGTATCTGATGAGATGTCAAGACTGCTGTCTGTAATATCTGCATTGAAAAGTTGTCCGAAGTATGAGCTTGGAGTAAAGAGCAAGTAGACGTTAAGATAATAGCCAGGTTTCCATTTATCTGTTAAATTAAATTCAAATAATAACTAAAAGGCTGCAAAGTAGTATTCAAATGATGCTGTTTTCCCATCAGCTGTGTACAAGAGAATAAAAACACTTATGAGAAACATGGACCATACAGTTCATAATGCATGTTATCAAATGATCCACGTTTTCATTGAATATACTTAAGCTACGATACAAATAATTGTTATTCTGACATTTTACAGGGTCATCAGTGCAGAAAAAGACCATTTGTTTTGCATTTGAGCGTTTGTGTCTATGAAAGAGAGAGAGTGAGAGAGTGAGCTCCTCTGCTGTTTTGACTATTGCTGAGTCACCCAAGTCAACTCCTTGTGTGTTTATGCTAGTCAGGAGCAGATGAATTAACCTGTTTCTGACTCTGCATGTCTTAACAGCTTTGGCTGACATCAAATTAAATATCACCTTGAAGTGGGTCTTCAGTGCAGTTTGTGTAGATGAACAGCCTTTCCTATCAAATAGTTCTATACACAATCAAAGATGAAAATATCTTCATGTTTATTATGAGTAATTTGTATTGTTCTTTGTATGATTTTATTATTTAATGCAGTGCTTGTATTTGCATGATTACAGAAAGGTGACATTGGTAATGGTGGGACTGGACAATGCTGGGAAAACTGCAACAGTCCGGGGCATCCAGGGAGGTAAGACCAGGTTGTTAATCCCTCACAGGTGTGTTTATATTATGCAATTAATCCACTATCTTAAAGGAGCACTTTGTGCCAAAGTGCTGACTGTGGGGAACAGTTAACATTACCTAATTTGTGTTAGCCTGTACTTTTTTTAAATAGCAGTTTTTGTTGACAGTATTCCCTTCTTGCTCCTCTACTACCACTGTATTGTACTTTTTAAAACAAGATTCTAATGAATACTTCTGTAATTGGCTATTCCAACAGACATTTGATTAATCGACTGATTGACCTATTATATCATCTGTGATTTAATTTCAATTTGCCTTGTTACAGCATTGCAATCATTCAGTATTCTGTTAGTTTTTCTTATATGGTGCATTAAAACAGTAGAAGCTGTGCCCCCCCCCCAAGCTTTCTGTAGTGTATTGCAGTCTGTCAGAATGTCTGCATTGTTATGAACATCACTGAGCATTATAGAGTGTATTTGTTTTTAAATAAACACTGCATTGGCTTTTTCAATAACCAGTGTTGTCCAAAAACAATCGACTTTGCCAACTTCACATCTTCACAGCCCTACTTTTTGGTAAAGTTCAATATATGTAATATATTTTGAATTAATTAATATATTACTTTTATTATTTATGCTTAATTTTTGTGTGTATATATATATATATATATATATATATACACACACACACACACACACACACACACACACACACACACACACACACACGTGTACGTATAATTATTAGCTTCCCAAAGGCTTCTGTTGCTGAATCGCACAATGTCTCCGCTGTAACAGTGGAACCACTTCATTTTTTACTATGTGAAGGACATAATTGTGGCTTTGAACCTTGCGCTTCACAGTTTCTCCAGCAGTGCTAGCTTTTAGTAAGCAAGTCACTTTAGTATTCCTCATTTACATAAGAAACTGCCATAAATCTCAGCAGGATGTAACAAAAGCATGTGCTTGCAGCAAAACCTTTCAAAACCAGAGATAGATATATATATATATATATATATATATATATATATATTTCCAAACAATTTGTCACTCATTATCTCTTGTGAAATTTCAATAAAAGACTTTCAATAAATCAGTTAATGCTAAAAAAACGTGAACTAAAGAGGTAAACTAAACACAGCTGTAGTGGATCATATTTGTTTCACTTGTTTATCTACTGCTCAGACTGTTTGATTGTGTTTGTGTTTACCAGCACAGTAGAACCAAGGACACAAACAGTGTTTTTGGTCGCTATTTCTCATTATCATGACCGTTGTGTTCATCTGTCGTGTTAGATTTTGACACTTCTTTGTGGACCTATTTTGTCTTTTGCTTTTTCCAGCTAAAATGTTTTGAAAACCAAAAGTGCCACTTCTGACCATTTTTAGAAATTTTCACATTTTCAATGGCCAAAATTTAGGGGCTTCCCTGGTCATTTATATCAATATTATTTTAAGCCTGCAGATATCACTGCTTTCACCTGTAAGTTTCATATGAGTAAAGGCTGGCATAGGTTAATTCATACAGAACACTATTTTAACATTGTAATATTATGTGCATCTCTGTCACAGAGAGCCCTCTCGATGTAGCCCCCACGGTCGGCTTCTCCAAAGTGGACCTGAAGCAGGGAAAGTTTGAGGTCACGATCTTCGACCTAGGTGGAGGGAAGCGTATCCGAGGGATCTGGAAAAACTACTACTCAGAATCCTATGGTGTGGTGTTTGTGGTTGACTCTAGCGACGTCCGGAGAATCCAGGAGACCCGAGACACCATGGCAGAAGTCCTCCGCCACCCTCGCATTGCCGGCAAGCCTGTGCTAGTGTAAGCGAAACACACCCTACCTGAATGCTCATATTCAGCTCTCAGGACAGAGGATTCATTGCTTTCTTCAAGTGCTTTTACTTAGTGGTGTAAAGCTCTAATCTCACAGCAATTTAAATTCATTAGCGTTCTCTGGTAAACAATTCACTGCATAATGAAATCTCATTCCAGAACTGTTGCAGTTGAATTGCCAACTTCATCACGATTCATTTTCAGACTGCTGCTTTTCTACTGCTCGGTACATTCAGTGTATTTCTCAGAAATTAACACCATCATTGACAAGAACGTTGGGTAGTAATAGAATACATGTAACAGCGTTACATAATCAGGATACAAAAAAGGTGAACTGTATTCTGAGACAGTTATAGGAAAAAAGACAGTGATCAGATTACAAGTACATTATAAAAATAGAGTGATTACTAGAGTGATTAGAACCACTTTTAAGACAGTGATTTTCTTGCCTAATAGTTTATCATCGGGCAGTATCTGTAGTACTGAAAGGTCTAACTAGCTTAGCTAGGACATTCATATAACTCCCATGAGTACAGTTTAAAAAGTAGAGTACCTTGGATGGCAAACCAATAATGTAAAGCTTATTGGGCACAAAAATCTAATATTTAATTTTTTTCTTACTTGAGTAACTGGTTAACTAAATATCTACCAAAATATCTAATACCATTTGGAAGTGGACATAGACATAGCACACGTAAAGCACAAACAATTATGCGTCACCTGCTGTTTTAGATGTTTTGTTTGCCTTGTTAGGTTAAAGAATCAACCTAACAAGGTCAAAGTCAAGGCTGGGTTAAAGTTTTTCATAAATAACATGACTTGAAAAAGACAAGTAATTCAAAAGTACTGGAAATTAATCAGATTATGTTACTTTAATGTAGTAATCATTTAGATGACTTTTTTTCAATAAATATTCAATAATCCATTAGAGAATACATTTTAAAGTAACGCTCCCTACCCTGACTGACAGCACATCAGTATTGTTATTAAACCAGTTAATCAGTTTTCTCTCAAAGAACATAGGAGAAAAACAAAAATAAGAATACTATCAATAACATTTGGCGTTATGACACATTATGATGTCTCACTGCATTATGAAATCTCTCCACCTGTTAACTGAATTAGCAGTTTAGTGTTTAGTTTATATGCTTTATCACAACTTGATTCAACTTAGTCCTTAAGGCCAGAGCATTATAGAATGTTCTCCTCCTTCTCACTCTTCTCCGCTAGAATGCTCCTCCTCTCATTGACAATGGCACATTGACACAATTCTTATTCTCAAACCATACGTTTGAGACATTGCACACCTGGCTCTGTCACTTACAGCTCGCTCTCTTTCTTTTTTCAATTGGCTCTCAGACTGGCCAATAAGCAGGACCAGGACGGGGCATTAGCTGAAGCAGACATCATCGAGAGCCTTTCGCTGGAGAAGCTTGTCAACGAGAACAAATGTCTCTGTCAGATTGTGAGTCTTTATTTAGCGTATATCTTCATTGACCACAAACTGTTGTCAGCTGGGTTAACAGACCACACATTTTCAGAAGAAAAATGCTGACTTTTTGAATTAAGGGATTTGTGAATGCCCTGTTTTATTTGTAATCACTTGGAAAGAAGTGAAATGGTGAAAAGAAGCATAATCCAAGTTAAATTGACTTTATAGTAAAAAAGAATTAAACTATACAAATCTACTTTCGACAGGAGCCGTGTTCAGCAGTTCTGGGCTACGGTAAGAAAGTTGACAAGTCTATCAAAAATGGCCTGAATTGGCTGCTGAACAACATTGCCAAGGACTACGAGGCGATCACAGAGCGTGTACAGAGGGACACAGCGGAGCAGCGGGCACAAGAGGAGCAGGACAAGAAGGAGAGAGCAGAGCGAGTGAGGAGAATCCGAGAGGAGAGGTCAGTAAGTGGTTGAATACTGTTTGAGTCATGCAGAAAGGTTTGATTTGAAATGTAAATATTGATTTGAAACCATTGTGAAGAAATCATTGTTTGTAAGCTTCTCTACAATGAATTGTTTTATCAAAACACTCTGAATGACTGTGTTTTCATCTTAAGGACACAATTTAAAATCAGTAGAATTTGCCTTTTAATTATTATTTTTATTATTATTTACTTAATTCCAAATGTAGTCAGTGAACCAAGTTGTGTTCTGTGCTTCTTTAGTTTTGTCCTGGAGCTACGATGGTAACAGTGGCCTTATTTACTGTTTCTGTTTCCTGCTGTGCTGCTAAATCAGAACCAGGAAATACTGAAGGAAACTACACACAAGTTGCTCAGCAATGGCTGACAGGCTAAATGCTACAGAACACCTTTGATTCCAGCTGTCACTCCATGGTGTCATTCGATTTTGTGCTCTTAGAGTTTTTATTGCTGTTGTTGGAAGCAAACCTTGTATCCCAGTTTTTGTTGTTTTTCAGTTTATAGCATAATTTGAAAATGTTTGTTGCCCTTTACACTGTGTGTAAATTTCATGTATAATGGACCAAAATGACTTGGGGTGTAGTTCTATTGACTGACACTAAAAGTAAAGTAGGTTTTTTCCTTCTCCTGTAAAAGTTTTCTTCCGACAACAGCGATATGCTCTAAACGGCTGTTATTTGAGTGTCAGTTAGCTGGAACTGAGTCTTTACTGTAGCCCAACTTAGCAGGCCACATCTCAAAACACTACAGAACAGAGTTCAGATTTCTGTCACTCCAGCACTAGGCATTCGACTTCGCTGTCTAAGATGTGAAGATGAGTTTTTATCGCTTGTAACTTGGGGTGCAACAAACGACTAATTTGATGGTAGAATAATCTATCCATTACTGAAACGAATAATCGATTAATCGGATTATGAATCGCTACATTACCAAATACCTTCTCTGTAGCTATTAGGTTTTAAATTTAGCTTGAGGTTGTTTTATGCATTTACTAACTAACAATGAAGACAGTATAGATGAATAACATTTAAGAAATCACTGTTTTAATGACCTTTTTTGCTAATACAAAAGATAAAAAATAAAACTCCAATGTATTTTTCCTGTCAAAATGTATAACCAAGGATGTGCAAAGTAGCAGCAATAAAATACAACAAAACTATTATAAAAAAAAATCAAAATCAGATAAAATCATTCTAAATTTAAATGTTAAATTTAAACAGTGCAGTCTGTGCTATGTTCATTCTGCTGTCTGTCTGCACTTTGCTGCAACTAAATTCTGCAGTCACAGGTCTTTACTGAAACGGAGGCAAGTCAGCATCTCTCTGTGCTCCTCTGAGAGTCTCGCACTCTTCTGAGAGCAGATACTCCCCGCTGTAGAGGAGACGCGCTCTGATGGAGCGGATGGGAAAGTGGTGAATGTTTGTGGCGAACTTCTCTATGAACAGTTAAATTAACGATTTTTTTTTTGAACATTTCATTTCAACGGTAACCCTTCGTCCAGCTACCTAAACTGTCAGCGAGTGGTGGCCAGCATTCGTGGAAAACAGAAAACTGTAAACGCTCTCCTATGTTTGCCGAATCTGAGCGCACCGGTGGCCTCGGCGTTAAGACGAAGATGTAGTGTTTAAAAGTGTGAACGTTATCGGAAAAGTGAACAGAGTCGCTGTGAATAATAATAATAATAGTTACTTACTTATCTGTTCAAACTCCATTAACGATTCCAGAGAGCAGCAGTTCGAAACAAAAAATGTTACAGCTCAGCTCAGAACATGAAGTTGGACGGAATTTAACATTAACATTAGCTAACTAGCTCGCTACCACAACTATCACCGCGTCCCAAACCACACACTTCTGTACTTCATATACGACACTAACGAGTGCACCTCTAATGGTATATGTGCTATTTTTACACACTATTTAGTCACCAACTAATCGACTACTAAATTAGATGTCAACTAATTTGGTCGTCGATTTTAGTTGACCAAGTCGAATAATCGTTGTACCCCTACTTGTAACAGCAGGTCAGATGAAATCGGACCTGCACTAGATAAGCTATCTAGGCTAGAGGAGCTGGTTAGCGTTAGCCTAAGTAGGAGGCTACTAGAGATGAAACGATTACCGGTTTCACGGTAAACCGCGGTAAAATTAATGACGGTTAGTAGTACCGTTTGAACTTTAAAGTATCGTTAAAACCGCGGTCGATTACCGCGGTGTGAAAAACTCGCTGTACAGAGTCAAACAAAGGCACAATCATTCTCTCAGATGCAGCTCTGTGTGTGTAGAGGGGAAGGGGGAGGGAGAGAGAGAGAAGGGAGAACATGGAGGAATGTAGTGACAGAGATTCAGAGATATTTCAGCCTTCTAAGAAGACCAAGTCTGACGTTTGGTCATATTTTGGGTTTTATAAGGATGCAGAAGGAAAATTAATTGAAGATGACCACCTGTCTGCAGATGAGCACCCTGTCTGCAGAACAGGCTGAAAGAAAATAGCGGCGAAAGGGGGCAACACATCAAACCTTACAAGTCATCTTCGCGACCACCACCCGCTACTTTTTAGAGAATGCAAGGTTAACTTTAACGTAGAAGTCCGTGGGGACTTCGAAATAGAAGAAATGTCATGGTCTGTGTGGTTTAACTTATACTTATGGTTCATTAATAATATAAAATGAAGCTTTTAGCGTCAAAAAAACAAAAAAAAACAAACAAACAATCGGTGAATCAACTGTGAATCGAAACTAAAGCTTTTAACACATTTCTGTGGAGCAGAGTCTCCAAAATGAGCTCTGAGTTAACAGTCACACAAGCTCTGGAACGAGACGCTGCAAAAGTTCAGTCTGCACAGCTCCCCTTTCTCGCTTGCAGTGTTTACTTTCTGAGAAGAGAATAACTGTCTCATCACTCAATGTCCCCTACATAGTGCGCTACTGTTCAAACAAACACGATCATCATTAACAAGCAGTTGAGTTTTAAATAGGGAATTTGTAACCTATTGTTAATGTTGATTATAGATGACTTAGTCGAACATTTCCATGCACTCTTTGGGTGAAGGATTTGCTATTTCATGATCCACAAAGTGCCCTACATAGGGAAGATAGTGTGCTTTGAGACGGGACCTTGCACGAGTAAACGCTGTGTGCTGCTTTTAGGAAAAGCAGAGTTTCAGAGATTAAACTTTAGGAGTGTTTCTGCCGCAGCTCAGATGCGCGTTAATTTTAAGTTATGTTTTAGTTTTAAAATGCAGCTCCACAGGTGAAGACACACTGCGTAAGTTCTACACTGTCTGCAGCTCACAGCACGGTCACGCAATTCCTCTGTGATTTTGGCGGTTTTTCCTGGTGCACTGTGTTGATTAGGGGTTCAGCGCCACAACAGCACAATAATGCTGCAGTTGCAGTTCGGACAGAAATCCCCCGAGTGCAACACTTCTTAGAAGTAGTAATTTTCCATTAAGACCCACCTCAGAGTTGGTCGAGATTTAATTCTCTATGCAGGGAAATCCCTAATTATTGTAATTAATTAATAATAATAATAATAATAATAATTTACAACAGTAATAATAATAATAATAATAATAATAATAATAATTTACAACAGTGATAATAATAATAATAGTATTAACAGTAATAATAATACATTTGCTATTCTTTTGTTTACAGAGTATTGTAAATAATACAAAAGTAATACTACAAATATATTGACTATATATTTTTTTTAATGTTTATGCAAACAAAAAGTGCATATTGCTGCCAATTCTATTTGTGTTAATATAAAAGTTGGTGAAACGAATTTCAGTTTATGTATCAGTATTTATTTATTTGTTTATTTATTTATTTTACTTTTCAACACTTTTGAACAATATCGCGATAATATCGATAATCGTGATAATTTTGGTCATGATAAATGTGATATGAAATTTTAATATAGTTTCATCTCTACAGGCTACAGACCCAAAGACCACGTAACAGGTTTCATTTTAACTTTCTGTTCTTCCAACACCAACTGTTCAACTGATGTAAACGTAGAATCAGTGAGTGAATAGTTACATCATTACATCATGCCATCGAATGCTCTTTGGCCCTGAGAAAGGTTAGTAATCATGGCAAGAAAACTGTGCTGTGCACAGTTTGTAAGTGTTCTTTGTTGAACTGTGTCCTTGTGCAAATGCCACTAGAACGGTTACTCTCCCTGCTCAGAACCGTTCAGCCCTAAGAGGCTAACAAACTAGCAAGTAATGGAAGCTTTAAAACATATGACAGCTGTTAGAAACACGCAGACTGCATGCCTAATTCATCACACGTTCACCTCAAGCTGTGTCAAGTTACTAAGCAAAAACAAATATGCTTAGGTGGTTTACAACACTGTATTAGCATATGGTTATCTGGAAAAATGGACAAAATTGTATCACATAGCTAAAAGCAGTGGCAGCCATCTGGTAGCCTGTCAGTTTTTTATTTTATTTATTTATTTTTTTTTAGAGAGAGAACAGGATGTTGTCCAGTACAAAACAAAATAAGGAAACTTAGACAAAAGACAAAACCTGTCCGTGCTGATTTACTACATTTGGTGAAAAAGAAAAATTGTGTAAACTGGATTTTTTGGACTCTCTTTTAAATGTTTACCAAAGGCCATTGTTCTTCCCACAGGGATAAGCAAGAACGCGAGGAGGCGGAGCGAGGAGGGAAACAAATAAACGAGGAGTTAGAGGATGCTAACATGCCCAGCCCATTCCAGCCAATAAACAGTGTTGTTACTGAGGTGAGTAATCCTCTCAGCCAATAAAATGTATTCTGATTTGACGTCCTTAAATGTAGTTTTGACAGTCTGTGGTAGTTATCAATTTACTTTGCATCTGTGTACCTTAGTTTCCTATTAATTAGGTTTGTGCTAAAACTAATTTTGTCTGTGTTTAATTCAGAATGAGGATAAACTGAAAAAGGAAATGGAGAGGAAAAAGCAGAGCGAGGAGTGCCAGGAGAGTGGCACTTTGGAACAGAAGAGCAAACAAGAGGATGAGGAGGAGGAGGAGGAAGAAGAGGAGGAAGACGAAGAGAGTGAAAGACAGACACCAGAAAGCATAGAATCAGGTCAGTCCCTCCTTTCATGTTCATTACTCATTGCAGGTTTGTTTCTAGAACTGACCCTCTAAGAGCACCTCTTTGTTGTAGCATCCTTAGACAGCTAAGATCTTATCAGTCTGTCTGTTTACACTGATTGGCCACTTCATTAAGTACTCCTCCTTTTATCTACAGTCTTTGTCCATTTTGTCAGGCTCACTTACCATATATGTGCACTTAGGTGTAGTTGTACACTTACAGACTGTAGTTCATCTGTTTTTCTGCATACTTTTTTAGCCCCCTTTTACTCTGTTCTTCAATGGTCAGAACCACCACAGAGCAGGTACTATTTGGATGGTGGATCATTCTTACCACTGCAGTGATGCTGATGTAGTGGTGGGTGTTGTGCTGGTATGAGACCTCCACTTCAGCAGCATAGCTACGTACTTACTGACTCCAGTGTTGTTACCACAGCAACCCATGCAGATAGGTTGGGTATGTCTGGACACACAAATCTGATCTGAACACTTGTAAATAGTGTGGACAGTTGTCTCAAAATATCTAGTTTGAAAAGCTAATCAGATCTGCCTGCAGTCTGAATTGTAGCCTAAAAACCTAGTCGTTTAAATACAAAGTGCACTTACATGGTAAGTGGAGCTAATTAAAAGTAACAAGACAGTAGATATAAGGAGGTGTACGTAATGAAGTGCCCAATCAGTGTAGGTGTTTACTTATTTGTTTATTTTGACACATGAATTATAGTTATATGTGGATATTTCTGTCAACAAAATTTTGGACTGTTTAGCTAATGAGATCCATTTTTCAGACAATGGGCCTCATTCACCAATATCTTTCTAAGCTTTTTCTTAAATTTGTTCTTGAGAGAGGTCCTAAGAAAAAGTGTACATCAGATTCATGGCGTGTTCCTAAACCACAGAATTGTTCACACCTTTGTGCTCTTGAGTTTGTGTAGATTCTGTTCTTACCTAAAAACAAATCCCAAAAAAGAAAACACTGGTAAATGTTAGAATGTTTATGGAAACAGTGTAAGTGCATTTTAAGAAGAAATTTCTTCTTAAGAACGGTTAGTGAATGATGCCCATTATTCATATGCATCAACTGATTAGTCAAAAATCTAGCATTTTGGTAGATTAAGAGATTTCTTATTTGAAGACAGCCCTAATTTTTTCTATGAAAACTTTTGTCTTTATACACTTTAAAAGTGATGTATAATTGGCTGTAGTTGTAACATGACTAATATTTCTGTCCAGATTATGATTTATCGCCTTCCTCCTGTGACTCTTAGTCATAGCAGTCTAGCTGAAAATGCATCAGAATCTTACAACACTTTTAGAGCTTTACAACTTAGTGAGTTATCATGTTCTTGTCTTATGTTTAGTTTAGTGTTCCTCCAGGTTGAGAATTACGGATACTAACTGTGTAATGTATAATTCATAATTCATGTAGATGTACTAATTGAACAGTTCCTTGTTTTACTGCCAGATAAAGAAAAGTACTATCCATACAAAGAAGTCTGCACGTTTGTAAAACCTATTGCTTTAAGAGAGCACTGCTCTAGATAATTAACTTGAAATAACTAAATTTAGTAATATATCTACTAAAATCAGATATTGTGTTTAATCACAGTAGAGCACGTAGTGTTCTGGGGAACTAAATAGACTTTCTTATTTGAATAGATTTTCAATGATGTCAGAGTTTGGTCAATATCCGGTGTAGGGTGCTAAAAGGCATTCGCTCATTCTCAGGTCCAGCTGACCAGGCCAAAAAGAAGACAAAGAAACTTCGGCTGAAGCGGAAAAATAGAATCGATCCACTCAGGGCAGAGGACCCAGCCAAGAGCCCCACCCCACCTCCTCCACCAGGTAACCAAGATCCATACTACTTAAAGGAATAGTTTGGTAAAAAAAAATCTGATTTACACAATTTTGCTCTTGATGATGTAGTTGTTCAGCCAAGACATATTTGTTATCTGAAGTTTCCTCCTTTAATTTTACACTGGATCTATGGGGCTAATGTAGCTAACATGTAATGGAAGCTTGTGCTTCCAGCCTGCTTGCCTAAATCAGCACATGCCTCAAGCTGTGTTGAAAATGCACAAAACTGTTGACAAATTCCATGTTGTGTAATTTTTGTCGATTTTTAGGGATAACATTGTCATGTTTTGTAGCAAATGTATTTGAAAAAAAAGTGTTTAACTATCCTGCAAGGTTTCATTTTTTTAGTTCACAGTCCTACGCAGTACAAGTCATACTGTGTCTTAAACAGCTCTGAGTTTTTGTAATCTTAAAATCTGAATGCAGTCAGAGCTAGCCGAGAGATGTTTGGCGATATATTTTTATGGAAACAACTTGGGCTATTTGGGTGACTGTTGAGTTGCATGTTTTGTTAGCAACATTAGGCTCCAGTTCTCTAAGAAAAATTGGACTTAAAACATGTCTTAGCTGATCGACTGGAGGTGGGCAATATGGCAAAATTATAATATTGCGATACTTCAAGAAATTTTCATGATGAACGATATCGCACAATATTTATTTTCTGATCATCTGATCAGTTGGAACTGAGAAAAATAACTAGAAGTGCTACATTTTAAAAAATACTATCAAAATCTGTGAACACAGTGATTTTTTTATTCAATATTTAGTATACTGTGTTGCACTAAATCCAGTTAAACTGGACTAATTTTGCTGTCTTTCTAATGAAACATGCTGTTGGTCAGTGTTCTACAAGTACTAATGTACACGATATGTTTAGAAAAGCACACCGTATTGTATTGTGACATATTTTATCATGATAATGATATGTATTGTCATATTGCCCAGGCCTACAATCGACTATTAGTGGGTTCCATTCTGGAGGCAGCTGCATAACTAGTCACCTTCAAAGGTACCTGTCTTGTTGGACAGCATTTTAACTGAAAAGAAACCTTTAGTAGGCCACGCATTCGGGACACTCTTCAGAACCGTCATATGTCATAACTTTCACTGCGTTGTACTCATGATCTCTACTTACTTGCCGTCGCTCGTTACCTTACACTAACCTCTGGATATAAAAATGGATTACCTAAATATATAAGGATGGATCCCCATCTGCAGCAGCTGTTTTCTATTGACAGTGATGTGGGAATTTATTGTGTTTGAAGAACAGGTTGCTTTAAGGAGTGATATCTGCCATTATATGTGTGATTGGTGCCCCAATATTACAGATAATTGTTACTACTAGTTTAGCTTTGTCTTCATCCACGTTAAGGAATCTGCTTTGTTTCTAACACAAAAAGGATAAAACTGCTTATAATTATGTACAAAATTCACCCAGGTAAAAACACAATCGTCTAAACTGGCTAATGCCAAATCGATAAACTGTTTATAGACAAAAGCGCTACTAAACACTGAACAGTGAATAGCCAGCATTTTAAACTGGGTTCTCTTGTACTGAAGAGCCCACATATTTACACAGCTAGCCTGCTAGCTAAGCTAACCAACATTACAAACACAGACAGTTAGGTCCTTGTTTCTACACTCACTGTCCATTTTATCAGCTCCACTTACTATATAGGTGCATTTTGTAGTTCTACAATTACAGACTGTAGTCCATCTGTTTCTCTGCATACTTTGTTAGCCCCCTTTTACCCTGTTCTTCAGTGGTCAGGACCCCCATGGACCCTCACAGAGCAGGTACTATTTGAGTGGTGGATCATTCTCAGCACTGCAGTAACACTGACATGGTGGTGGTGTGTTAGTGTGTGTTGTGCTGGTACGAGTGGATCAGACAAAGCAGTGCTGCTGGAGTTTTTAAACACTGTGTCCACTCACTGTCCACTCTATTAGACGCACCTGCGTTGTTGGTCCACCCTGAAGATGTAAAGCCAGAGACGATAGCTCATCTCTTGCTGTACAGTATGAGCTAATCATCCTCTAGTCCTTCATCAGTGGTCACAGGACGCTGCCCACAGGACGCTGTTGACTGGATATTTTTGATTGGTGGACTATTCTCAGTCCAGCAGTGACACTGAGGTGTTTAAAAACTCCAGCAACACTGTTGTTTTTGATCCACTCAGACCAGCACAACACACACTTACACACCACCACCACATCAGTGTTAGGGCTAACAAAGTATGGAGAGAAACAGACCTACAAAGTGCATCTATATAATAAGTGATCGTAGAAACAAGGAGGTGGCCATAATGTTATGCCTGATTGGTGTACGTTAAATATGTTAAAATAGCAGTCCTTCAAAACAGTAAAGACAGAAGACAAGAAATAACTTGAAGAGCAGAAACAACTGCTCAGTCTGCCATGTTTATCAAACTAAAATGATGGAACCAAAGATTATATATAAAGGTAAGCCAAGATGGTGCATGCCTGTTTAAGTGAATGTGAAGAAAAAAAACTGTTGTTTTCTTTAAAATCAGCTCGTCAGAAAATGTGTCTAGCCTCAAAATACTTACAAAACCCCCACATTTACAAAAATGGCATCAACTTCACTGTAAACTTAAAAGGGGAAAATTGCTGAACTTTGGTGAAATGGACAGAGTTTCCATTTCCATATTTTTACATGATGTCTCCCAGCTTCATGAATCCTCTCTGAGGGAACTCTCAGCTGGTAAACAGTATTATGGGAATGTCTTCATCTAGAAGGATACATGTGATACTGCCTTAGAAAACAGCTGACTTACGCTGCCTTTCGAATGGGACAGTCTTTGTCCTGGGAGCATACAAATGCTGCCTTAACATACTGCCTACTTAAATAGCTGCCTCCTGAATGGACTGCACCTTATATATATATATATATATATATATATATATATATATATATATATATATATATATATATATAGTATATATATATATATATAATAGAATTTTTACTGAACAGTTGCTTTAAGGTAGGTGAGAAATTTGAAAAAATCTTAGGATTTGAAATTCACAAATTTGATTCTATTTTGACTGTTTTTATTTTTTTGTTCCACCCCAGATGTGTAACGTACTAAGTTAAAACTATTTTGAAACTTCACATAGGATTACTCAGAATTGTGTGTCTGTGTCAATTTGCATTCACAGCCATCCTTACTCTAACCTCATTAAAAAGATTTAACAAATGTGCTATTTTGACTTCTGTTTTTAGTTGGATGGGCTACTCCCAAAGTTTCTAGACTCCCTAAGCTTGAACCTCTTGGGGATACAAGACGTTCTGGTAACTCCTGGTTTTATTTTCCGTGTTTTACAGCATGCTTGTTGTCACATTAACTACTAACAGCCTTTTTTTAAAACCATGTTCTAACCAGGTCTCCTTGTCCTTGTTTCCTTCACTCACAATCATCTCACTGTCTCACACTTTTCTGTTATCTCTTCATTTACAGAGCATGCTTCATTATCTGCAGCCTCATTATGTCTACCTCAACATGCACTGAACATGTGTGTTTTAATTCTGAAAGATGTCCACTATGTTTTCTCTGTCTGTTCCCAGCACACATACTAATGAAACTACCTTAACTCTTATCTTTTTTGCATTCCTGGTACTAATTATTTTCATGTTTTAGTTGCTGTGTGTTGTACCAGTCAGAAGTTTGAGTGTGTGCTTTTCATAATCTTAGAAATTTTGTTTGAAAGGGTTATGCTTAAAGGAGCATTATGTAAAAAAATCACCCTAAGGTTGTGGTGTCCACCCCTATCCCTCCTCTAACTTGTTGTCAGGGGTTAGCTGCTTAATATGGTGACTTAAGGTACTTATCTCTGCAACACGATACAAAGGCGACTTTGACATAGTAACAAGTTCCTATGATTGACAAGAGATTAAAATACGCCCTCGGGGTGATGCTGCCTCTTGTGTTAAACTGATGGCTGACTCAAAGTGGTATTATGAGACAGGATGGGCTGGGGCTAGCTGGTTAACATGCTACCTTAAGGTATGCATCTCATGCAACACGATACATAACGTCAAAACTGTTACTTCTTCACAGTCTGTTAATATTTTTATTTACAGAAGTTTTTTAAAAACTAAGTGTGAATTCAAAATTAACATTTTATACTTTATTTCCTGCCCCAGTCACATTAAACATGATTCATCATACCTTACCATTTAAAACACAAAGTTTTCCCACAAGCTTTAAAGTGTAGTGACTTTTACATGTCTTCTGATTTTTCTGATTTAAATCTGCTTTTTTTAAGGAATCTACAATAGAAAAAAGCTTTAATTTTTTAATTAGTACTTTTGTTACTGCAGGGTTTCATATTTGTTATTTCAAAGTTTTGGTGTCTTCACTGCTCTTATGAAGTGTCAAAAGCTATATAAGTGGTTTTGGCACCCTCTTGTGGAGTATTTTCAGCCAGCAAAACCTGAGTGAGTTACCTCTAAGCAGTTATCTCTCTAATTATCTTTTAAATGGTATAGTATGATGAATCATGAGTGACTCACTTGCTCACAAGCCAGGTCCAGGCCTTGCATCTAAAAGGTGGTAGGAGGTCAAAGTAAAGACAGCCTACCTGCAAGTAGCTGTGTCCAAACGTCTGACTGGTACTAAATTTTTTTGTGTCCCCTATAGAACATCATTCTGTTAATATGGGTAGAGAAGGTTTTCAAAGTGACTCTGCCTTTGCTGCCTTAAAGTAATCTTGCAGCAGGCTAAACTACATCTGTGTATCAACTGAGTGCTTTCCATTATGCTTCTGATACACTTTGAGCACAGTTAGTTATCTAGCTGTTGATCAGGGAATGCTAAACCATACAGTGTTATAGACACACATGGCTAGAGAATATTGATATTGCTGCAGTAAGGGTAAGCGTTATGGTAAAAAATATAACATCACAGTATTTGAAGGCATTTCCATAATACACAATATGTGTCATGATATTTCATTTTTCTCAGGTTTGCAAGAAAGTTGGAACAGACACAGTCCACCAGCCATAATGGGTTGACATCCTATCAGCTTCTTGTTAGTATGCAACTAATGCAGTAACTATTCACTGGTGGTGGTTATTTACAGACACTATAATTTTATGATACGTGTAGTTGTACGGTGTTTTAGATCTACTGATCACTCAGAAAGTGTATTGTGACAGTTTATCTGGGTAATGATAACATGTTGCCCTCCCTTATGCTGCTGAGAAACCTGGTTTAAAAGACATTTTGTCTTGCATAGTTTAGATGTTTTAAAAAGGCAGAATTTATTTATTTATTTTTGTTACAGCTTTTAAGGAATAGATCGGCAAAAAAATCATATATACACTGTTTTCCCCCCCTTACGCTAAATGTAGTCGAATGCTCAATGTCTGAACTTAGCATTTTAAGTGAAGAGGTAAGATAAAGCTTCCATTACATTTTAGCTACATTATCCTTGTAGCTCCAGTGCAAAACTAAACTTCAGACACCAAACATGACAGACTACATTTGGGGCAAAGGGGAAGCTGTGTAGATTAGATTTTTGGCCAAACTATTGCCTTAACAGGGTTATTAGGGTTAATCTTTCTAACCTGTTTCTTTTTCCATCATTTCTTTTCCATTGGCAGATTTCTATGGCAAGCCCCTCCCTCCCGTAGCAATTAGACAGAGGCCAAATGGCGAAACCCATGATGTCATTTCCTAACCCCACCTCTTCTCCCCCCCATTGGTTTGCGATTTGTCATCCACACCAATCACAGTCTTTTGTTTTCATTTTCTTATCTTCAAGCCCGAGCTGTATAAAGAGCAAAGGGCAGCATCTATAATGGAAGGAATGGCACCCAGTCGAATGAGATGGATGGATCACATGCCTAATGACCAGCCAATGAGGAATGGACTACAGGGACAGTTTTCTCTGGCCAGTGATCATGGAAGGGGGGAAAAAAACGTCATCCAATGCTTCCAGCAGTAAATGAATTCATGGGAAATGGACCTGCACTGTACAGAATGTATACATTTTATCTTTACACAAGAGGAAGAAGCATTATACTTTATAAAATTTTTACTTTTCCCCCTAATGATCTATGTATATAGACATTTTTTTAAAATCAGAACAAGCATCGCGCATATTTGCAACTGTGAAACTCGTGACCTTTTTGAAATGAGACTGTACAGGAAGACACTATAGTTGAAATGGTACAAAAATAGGCTGGTGTGGTTAAAAGGTACAAAAGTGGAATGACATAAATAGCATGTGATAAATGCACTGCTTTTTATACATTTTCATTCTGTTTATCTTTTTTTTCTACAGAAATATCTTGTGTACTGTGCTATGTAAAAGTCTGAGACCACCTTTCATTTATTTAATTTCCAGCTAGAATGACCGTTAAGTATTAATTTATTCATTTTTCAGCATGAGAGGAACAAAAACATGTCTAACAGAAAATTACGCAGAAGCCTCAATAATTAATCATTTTTCCAGCATTTAGTGTGCCCACACTTTACCTTTATTATAGCTTTTATTACTTGCCTATATAACTTACAACCTGCTTTCAGTTTCTCAAAGAAATCTGCAGCGATAGTTTTCTACAAAGTTCAGTCTTAGAAGCATTTTCTGCTTCATATGATCCAAGTAATCCCAAACACATTCAGTAATGATGTTTGGGCTGTAAGGGGGTCAGTCCATTGTTCTGAGAACACCAGAAGTTTCTTTGTTTGATATGCGAATGTGCCTATTTTTTTGTCTGTTCTGTTTTCTCAGTAAAAGCTTGTTGTCAGCTACACATCCTTTCAGACTCAGTGTTGAGTTGTCTTCTCACAGTGGAAGGATGGGCAGAAACACCTGTGGATGTTTTCAAATCTGAAGTAAGAGTGGAGCTTGATTTTCTCCTCTCTCTCAAAGATGAAAGCTTTAAGTACTGTTTAACTGATTTGGAGAGTTTTGATGGTCTACCAGGTCTTGCATGGTTATTAGGAGTCAAATTTCTCTCTACCTTTTGATCATTTTTTGAGCTCCAGTTTTGGAAACTCTTTTTTTATTTATTTATTTATTTATTGATTTTTACTTCTTTTGACATTCCCCTTCTTTATGCAAGTAGATTATTTTATACCTAATCTGCTCAGGAATATGTCCTGAATAATGACTTGTACTTATTGGCTGTTTAAACTGGAAATTAGTAAGTGAAGGGTGGTCTCTGACATGCAAGGTACTGTAAGTGTATTTCAGTTAAAAGATTTGACGTTTGATGTTTCAGAGTTTTGAAAGTACGCATGCAAACTACATACTGTGGATTTCACCAGCAACCAACACTACGTTAAACAGGATGGAGCTTGAACTGGCACAGCGTGTTAAAGTGGAATTTTTCCCAAAGGGAAACCTTTTAAAACAAAGACTTGACTGAACTTCAGTGGATGGAGCAACACACACATTTCATTTCTTCACGGTCCACACTATTGTTATTTACAATGTCTTTATTTTTATGCTACACAGAAACATGCACATACTGTAGCAGTGTTTTAACTTTGTTTAGAGAGGACATTTAACTTCAAACAGTAGCAGTTCAGAATGTTACAGCAGATCATTTTGAAGAAACACATTCTCAAAGTATGAAATGGTATATCGAGCCATCTGTTCATTCCCAGAATAGACGACGTTGTTTTGGCTGTAAGCCTATTCACAACTCTGAAAGTGTGATGTGTTTGGAGGTTTCTCGCTTGAATTTTATATGGACTTGACAGATTTGCTCATATCTGACATGTACTGTAAACGGTATATTCACGTTTAGGTATTTATTTGTTATAGCCAGCAACTGACAATTTGGATTTCCTGTTTCACTTTTCACCTGTTGTTTTATTTACATATTACACATTATTTTATATCTGTTACTCAAGAGTGGAATACATTTTGTCAGTGTTATGTATTTCATTTCAACTAATTAACAGTTTCCTTAACGCCAGATTCTCATTTTCACGGCTTTCGTTACAAACACTTTTTATCTGGTTTGTTTTTAATATAAATGCTATTAAATGCATAAATATTTTTATTCAATTCGTGTCAGTTTTTATGATATCACAATCATGTGAAATGTCTCTTTTTGTTTATTGTAGTTCAGTGCAGCAAATGTTTTGGTCAGTTAAAATTCCAAATTAGTCAGGGATTCCTTATTGTAAAAACATTATGACCTGCTCATTACACCAGGAAAAAGCACACTGATCATGTACAGTGTAGAGCTTAGAATAGTATTTTGAGCTAAGATAGCAGGAGGACTGGTATGTCATCTCTTCAGCGACACATTGACAGTGGGTGAAGCCATTACGCAGTAGCTACAGTTATGTCAGGGTCGGCTTCAAAAAATCCTAACTTTCAGATAAGTGGGTGTATAAAACTCCTGCAGCACTGCTGTGTTTGATCCACTCGTACCAGCACAACACACACTAACACACCACCACCACATCAGTGTTACTGCAGTGCTGAGAATGATCCACCACCCAAATAGTACCTGCTCTGTGAGGGTCCATGGGGGTCCTGACCAATGAAGAACAGGGTAAAATGGGGGCAAACAAAGTATGCAGAGAAACAGTTCAAAGCACTGTGACGTAATGTCTGCAATAAATGTCTCCCTGGTGGGTTCGTGCCAGGGTTGGGTTTCAAATTTGGCAGTAACGGTCAGGTCTGAAAGTCTCTGGAACGAGTCTTGTTTGGGTTTCACATTTAGCAGTACCTGTCGGGTCAGGTTGGGTCTCAAATTCTAAGGTACAAGCCCTGTTTTGGTTTCAAATTTAACAGTACCAGTGGGGTCGGGTCTCAAGTTCTAAGGTACAAGTCTTGTTTGGGTTGTAAATGTAGCAGTACCAGTCGGGTCAGGTCTCAAATTCAGGTACAAGTCTTGTTCGGGTTCTAAATGTAGCAGTACCAGTTGGGTCAGGTCTCAAATTCAGGTACAAGTCTTGTTTGGGTTCAAATTTAGCAGTATCTGTCAGGCCAGATCTCAAAGTTGCAGGTACAGTTTTGTTTGAGTTGTAAATTAGCAGTAGTAGTTGGGGCCTGGTTGGGCCTGGTTGGGCCTGTTTGGGCCGGGTCTCAAAGTCGCAGCAATTGGTGGGGTTTCAATTTTACTAGTACCAGTCAAGCCTGGTCGGGCTAGGTCTTAAATGGATTGGGTTTTAAATTTAGCAGCACCGGCCCAGCCTGGTTGGGTTGGGTCTCAACGTCCCGACTATGGATCGGTCTGGTTTTAAAGTTGCCTGTACAGGTTGGGTTCCGTTTTATGCCCTTGCAAACATCTGTGCTGACAGACTATGCATCCAAAAGTTTGCACACCCCTGCTCATCCAAATTGTCTTCTGAAATCAAAGGGTCTTAATAGAGTGTTCTATTTTCTTCAGCAACGACAGGCTCTACACTAGATGTTGGAACATTGCTGTGAGGATTTGATAGCTTTCATTCACAAGAGCGTTAAGGTCAAGTACTGACGATCACAAACGCCAGTCCAGCTCATCCCAAAGGCACTGAATGGAGCTCCATCACTTCAGAGGACGCAGTTCCACTGCTCCACAGTCAAATGCTGGGGGGCTTTACACCTCTCTACCACTGGGGATGCTGAGCTCAGTAAAGTTCTCTGACCTTATGCTCATGTGCGGCTGATCCAGATTGTCTCATTGTATCGGCAGTGCTTTTCTGTAGAGATTAAGCTGTGAGAGCACAGCTGAATGCCGAGTCAGCAATGGGAGCTCTTTAAAGTAGTTGAATTCACTACTTATGAGGGGATAGTTTTGGAGCCCCCTTCTTGTCAACAAGCAGAGACGGAACTAAATGTGAGCGTCCGTGTTTCTCAGGGAGGACTAATGACAGACGGGCAGTTCGCTGCTGGACGGCGATGCTCGTTCAATGTTGCTATTAATATTTTTGTCCAAAACAAAATGGAAAGGATTCAGTTTTATGAGTGAAAGTTTCGGCGGCTTTCATGGGTTTAAGAAGGGTTTTGGAGGTCAACCTGTCAACTCGTTTTCCCACCGACTCCATGGCAACGCGTCCACCGTTCAGCAGCTCACAGCTCCGGAGCCGAGGGTCTGTAGGAGGCTGAGAGGGGGCAGAGGGGGCTTCTTACTCTCCAGCTTCTTGTTACAATTTCCCCGTTCCACCTTAAATGGTGCAGCAGTTATTATTATAACGCCCCAGACACCAGAATGTAACCCCTGCACCACTTAAGGTGGAACGGGGACATTCGAACAAGAAGCTGGCGAGTAGGAAGCTGAGTTAAACCCTGTATGATTTATTTTGATTCAGACTCGATTTAAAAAGGTTAAACAGCTTGTTTATTAAATGTAAGGAAACTAAAATGGACGTTTTCACCACCACAGCCTTCCTCCAGAGAATCCAAATGCAGACCTCGGAGGAAAGTGTGCCAGACGGTGCTGAACCATTTCGACTCTCAGTACAGCGAAGAGCTCGGACAGCAGTGGCTCTCTGCGAGGTAAACAGCTTACTTTAGTGCAGTGTACACTGGTTTTGTATGGATGTACCCTACAAAATAAGTACCCAGATCTCACACTGTGTGGGCTAAATGAACACACATAAGCACAGCACATCATTTCTAATAATTCATTAGCCAAAGTCGCAACGTAAATAACGTTGTTTTGCCATTTAACAACCAAAACCGCTTTTAAATGCTTTACCCATACGCAAATCTGATATATGGCCTTATATGCACATATATCATAAAGTGCCTGGCATATATTTCAAAATATATGTACATATGTGTTATACACATGCAAGTATAAAATGTTGGACATATATGCATAATATGTGAATCGTATATATTCATGTCTCATAGGTGGTGAACACGTATTTGTGAATATATATATATATATATATATATATGAATCACATATGTAGTGCCTGACATATATGTCTAATACAAACACTGAAAGATTTTTTAAAGCAGAAAATCAAACTAAAATATACCAGCAACATACATGCAATAAAAACCTTATATTACGTGCAGTTAGGATATATGAGTAATATATGCTCTCTATAGGTAAAATGTTTTCTATTATATATTTTTAAATGTGTTACACATATGTTTGTATATGTTGATATATGGCAGAAATATATGTCTGATGTTTGAAAGTGGCCAATTTGAAGTTGGCATATATGTCACATATGTGTCCCTGTGCGACTAATATAAGGGAAATCCATATATGCTAATATCATATATTTGAAATCTATATATTGCCATACATCATATTTCTATATTTCTATATTGACCTTTTTCAATAACATGAATCAAATAAAGTGCTATATTAAACTTAGTAGACAACTGGCTATTTAACACCATGTGTATAATTATGCTATGACATTTTAATGTAAGTGTAGCACCAGCCTTTAAATTACAGCATGAGTACACGTGCCTGATTCACATATTTACATCATAACTCCAACACAACACGACCTACTACTTTGGGTGATTGTCAAATGCATGTCTAGAGCAAAAATTGACAGATTCAGACATTGGCATGCTTAATTATTTGTATAGCACTTACCACAACAAGTATTGTCACAGAATAGGTATGGGCTGTACCGTTAATTTGTAGGGATGCAACGATATGGAAATTCTGGGCTGATGCCGATGTCCAATATTTTACGTGTACGCATGTGTGAATGCTGATATCCTATAGTTTGCATGTACATATCAGGCGATGCTGGTATCCGATATTTTACATGTACATATCGTGAGCGTGTAAAACTGCCTTCCGTAAAGGCCGAAGAACACTAGACGCGTTGCGTCGTGAAGTGTACAAAAATTTAAAACCATTGTTTTTAATGGTGGCACACACACCGGTGTCAGTGCTTCTTGACTGTACTGTTGAATTTCTCAGCACATCACAGCATGTCACTCAGCGTTTTGCCATTACTATATTAAATTAAAGCCATCAAGACCACATAAAGCCACAGTAGATCATGCATGGCTTGAAATTTACACAAAGAAGGGCAGACAGTCTTTTCGGTAAACAGACAAATGCTAATGGTAAGTTACCTCAGCTAGCTACTGTTACTAGCCTCATCTTGTTAAGCTCGAAAAACGCAATAAAAAGCCAATTTCAGCTTTTTTAATGCTGCTAGGTTATATTTATATAAGAGATGTAAGGTATTAAAACATCCTACCTAGAGTTTTATGTACAGAGCGAGTTTTTACCTTGTAGCTCTCTTGGGCTTTAACACTTTGCAGAATGTTTACATGCTCAAAAAGCTACAAAACACACTAAAGGAAAGGGAAAAACTGGAAGAGATATAATAGGCCTCTTTAAAAGAAAACTAATGAGCCATCATAAACTAGACTGCCAGGAAAACAACAACTTATGACTATGAGTAAGAAACTTTGCATTTAGCTGTAGCAAAGGTAGCAGTTACATTACCCATGTGCTTGGACTTAACACCTGAGTCTTTCTTCTTTGGATATTAGCTTCATTACCTATTGGCCTGTTTTTTCTGCTCCCCACACACCTTATCGAACAAATCAGCTCATTAACAAACTCATCCTGAGTTGAAGTGGGTGTGTTTCAGAAGGAAAAACCAGAAATGTACAGGGCACATGGCCTGTAACACCAGGGCAAGGAAACTGTTACCTAGGGTTACACATATTAAACCCATAGGCTTATTGTCCAGTTATTCATCCATTATTCAATAAGGACAAGCTGTTTTGCAATCTTTTGTTTTGGAGTAAGTCTGTATTCACTATCTGTGTAGTATGCTGTCAGAGCTCTGTTAAGAAGAATATTGAAAATCAAATCAAATCTTGGCCTCAGAGTCTTAATGACACCTTATTTCTTTCTTCTTCAGAGATGTCCTTCTGAATCCATGCTGCTGGCAGTTTGGTGTCCTACTAAACCGCTTTAGCGACCTCACAGGTGTCCTGTCACAGCTTAAATCACTGGGCTACTACAGCCTCCTTCCTCAAACAGATTCTCCTAACTGCCAGTACAAGCCTTTCTCTTCTGGCATCCATGCCCCGCTACAGTGTCTTGTTCATAAAGACCCTCTACGCCTGCCCACACAGCGGCATCGTCCAGGCTGGCTGAAGCAGTACTACCTGCTGAACGCTGCCTCCCTGCTGCCAGTGCTGGCTCTGGGGGTAAAGGATGGGGAGAAGGTGCTGGACCTGTGCTCGGCTCCAGGAGGCAAAGCTCTTGCCCTGCTGCAGGCAGCAACCCCTGGTAAGACCCTGCACTGCAGGAGTTGAATCTTAATTAGGACTGTGGAATATATTGTCAGGGGTGTAAGAACTGTGTTACATAGATATAAAGGTGAAGTTTCAGCCTGTGGAACCTGATAATAAATATGCACAATTTTTTAATGTATTATTTATGAATTATTATTTATATATTTATTATTTATATAATTTATTATTTACATTATTTATTAATTATTTAAATGGTTGTAGTCAAAATGACTCACTGTTATTTTTAACCATTTAAATTCCCATATTACAAGCTTATTATTCTGTAATTACCCAGAAAACCAATATAAACTGTCTAAGTTCTTATTGAAAAAAGAGGAAAGGAGGCCTGGACCCGCCAACAGCTCCTGGCCATTTGAATGTTTAATCACTGTCATGATATCAGCCTCTGCAATACGATGTAGCAGAAAGCTGCAGTATATTGCGTTGTGCAAAATTATCTTGTCTAATCTCCCTGGAAAAGCATTGCTAAAAGAATTGGACCCTCTGGAGCAGCCTGACGTCAAATGTCAGGTGTCTGCTAGAGGGGTATAAAGTCCCCTCGTCATTGGGCTGTGGAGCAGTGGAACTATGTTCTCTGGAGTGATACCTGACCTCACTAATGTTCTTTTGGCTGAATGCAGTCAAATCCTCACAGCAATGTTCCAACATCTAGTGTAAAGCCTTCCCAGAAGATTAAAGGTCCTATTAAATGATTTCAGAAGAAACATTGGCTGGGCAAGTATCCACATTTTGGACATGTGTGCTGGTTCAAGTTGCCATTCATTTAATGCTTTTGTTTATAAAAGTTTTAATATGTCTCAGTTATTTGTTCTAAAACTTTTGAATGGAAATGGCCACATTTTGAGCACATAAAGCTGAGAGTTTGATAAGCAGGTTATGACATCATTATATGACTCTCTCTCAGGGCTGTTGCACTGTAATGAAGTGGATAAGAGCAGGTATGAGTGGCTGCTGAAGACACTGGAGTCATACATCCCTCCTTCACTCAGAGACACCATCATCGTGACGAACATGGATGGCAGAGCCATTGGTGGCAGCCAGTCAGAGTCATACGACAAGGTACAACAGCCATGTCTGTTCCTCCATTGTATAATTTCAAGATGCTTGACTGACAAATCCTATGATATTTCGCATATGTGTATCATTAAAACAGCCTCACTACATTTACAAAGATGGACAATTAAAAGAGTCATAAAGATTTGAATCCAAATTATTCAGTTTTTGGTTAGGCAGTAGTTCACCGTTCACTTTGTGCAATTACACAGACACTTTCTTTTTGTATTCTTTTATGCATAACCTTTCACATAGACGCATTCACAGAGATATTTTCTCACACCCCCAAAAGTTTTAAAAATTGGTTGCATTTTCTGCTTCTTGCAATCCAGGTAATTCGATACACATTCAGTGATGTTGAGTTCTGGGCTCTGGGGTGGTCAGTCCATTATTCAGAGAACACCAGCAGCTTCTTTGTTTGTTTCTCATTAACTGCTTTTTGACAGATACACATCCTTACAGACCCATAGAGTTGAGTATTCTCACAGTGGAAGGATGGACAGGAACAGATCTTGAGCAGTAGTGGAGCTTGATTTTCTCCTCTTTCTCAAAGATGAAAGCTTTACATGCTGTTTATCTGATTGTGACAGTTTTAGTCTACCAAGTCTTGCACAGTTGATGGAAGTCTCATTTTCTCTGTTTCTTTTAATCATTTTTTGAACTCCAGTTTTGTAAACTCCACTTATCCACTTGTTTGCAGTTTACTTTTCCAGTCTCAGTGCAAGTGGATTATCATATGTCCAGTCTCTTTAGAAAATCCTGAAAAAGGAGTAACTTCTACATAATGGCTGTTTGACTGGAAATTAAATAAATGAAAAATGATCTCTGACTTTACAGAGTGTACTGAAATAAGATAAATATAATGAATTTAATACCTCCAGAAATGAGGCATCATTTCTTGCCTGTCCACATCACCTAACCAATTAGATTCTAACTCTTCCTGACATTTTAAACGCATGCAAACATTTGCTGATGTGTGCATCTTTCCTCACGCTGACTCAGGCTACTTTGAAGGAGTGTTGGCATCGGTGAAAGCTGTAAACATACACGTTTTTTTTCCATCCAGAGACACTCGTGAGGCTTCCAGCTGCCTTTCAGGTGGAACATGCCAATCATACAGTGAATATAGACACTTTACACAGCCTGCTGACTAAGGGTTTTATCCTAATGGCTTTCATAGGTGTAAAACAACAGCCTGGTTAATATAAAATATAATTGTTTATGCTGGAAATAAAAGGAAACAAGGGCAATATTGGATTGAGAGAGACACTTTGCATAAGGATTAACCCCCTAGAAGTCATGCTTATTGCTGGTGATGACAGAAATATGTAGTAATTTTAGTTTTTTTTATCATTCATAGCTTATTAAAACTAAAGTATTCAATTACACAAAGTAATTTTGTCAAATGTAGTCTTAAAAAATTCAACTTTGTGCCACATTTGTGTTTGTAAGTCAAAAGGACTAAGGTTTATTTAAATTCACAGTCTTGCTTTGAGGATTTGTGCAGTTTTGCCTAGTTTTTTGTCACTTCTGGACATCAAAACACGCAGAAAATGTCAGAAGTGCAGGTTCTGCCGAAACAGAATGCACAGAGCTTCTTAAGTAATTAGTCATGTAATTATGTAATAAATCATATTAAAAAAAAAAGTCAAGAAACTGGTGTAATGCACCAGTTTCATTATTTCATGTAGTACACAGCTATGTCCACTGGGTGGCGGTGTTGCCATTGTGCTCACAGTGTCATCTGTCTAAATGTGGTGTTGACATTGGCTTCATTATGAACCCTGTGGTGCCCTCATTGGGGCCCTGCAGTGACAGCCAGTCAGGCATAAATTTACTTCACTCCAAGAAACAGACTCCACTTCCCAGCATGCCTCCTCTGTTTCACCTGAGAATGACACTGAGTAAGGGTGTAAAAACGCATTGATGCATAATAATGAACTGATCCGAAGGTGATTCAACTGCATCAGTTTTGGAATGTTAGAATCAACTGCAGTCCGTTATAATAATATTTAGTAAAGCAGCCGTAGTAAAAAATGTTTTTATTTTTAAATATACAGGTCCAAATAAAAGCTTGTTATGTTTTGTCTGTATTCCACTACTGCATGGGTTTGCTGTGCTCACTCAAAGCTTGTAACTCCCATCTAGGAAAAAACAAAGAAAATGCCTTGGAATTCTAAATCGAGAGTGTTTTCATCTCAGAGTTCAGCATTTGACGTCATATCAACCTGGCTGTAGCATATAGAAGTTGACCATAAAGGTCGCTGTTTTGAGCAAGTAAAAACATCATGAAATGTAAAGTTATCCCTCATGTCAGTAATGCTAGCTTAGCTTGAAAGTGACATAATTCCAAGCTCCAACTTCCCTCTTTTGAGATAAGCTGAATGCAGCTTAAGTTCCTCCCGGCACATTTGCATATTTGGTGTATTTTTGAAATTAGCCCAAAATCAGATCAAACGAATTAAATCAAATCTTCTCTTTGGAATCATTCACTTAGTAACTCATTCACTTCATCATGTTTGCTGTATTGTTTGACTAGGGAATGACCATGGAACATGGCTTACACATGGTTTACACACTGTACAGTTCACTTTTTCTCTAATAGAAAGTGATTCTGAACATAGCTTGAGATTTCATGATTCATTGAATCATTTCCATAAGAATTGTAATGGAAGCAAATCGTTATAAGGTCAGAGATTTGTAACCGCAGTGCTGAGTCAGATGACTCAGACTCATTTCAACAGCGTTGTGATGTCATTTTGGTGTCATGACTCCACATAGCTTTTGTACTTTTGTCCATTGCATCTGAAATGGTCTTTTTCGTCCCCACCCATGGGCCTTGTTCTCCAGCATCATTCGCTCTCGTAGCTGCTCTCCCCAGAGTGCCCTCAGGCGTTCTTCTAGCCCAGCAGTCATTAAAGCCGAGACAGAGGGGAATTAAAACTCACAGGCTATTTTCAAACATTAAAATACAAAAATCTTTATGTATTGCTTATAATGCCTGTATTCTATTCCATTTCATTACAATGCCTGTGTAAAATGTTCCCCCAATCACTTATTTAAGTTATGTTCAAAAATAATTATTAAATCAGAGTGAATTGTTATGAAATTTGAGACTTCATGGTGTGCTGAATCTGAATTTCTGAATGAATCGAAATGGAAATGAGTCATTGTGAGGTCAGAGATTTACACCTGTAATGCTGAGTCATGTGAGTATTTCGACTCATTTGAACAGCACTGTTATGTCACTCAGGTATGTCATTCCCCAGAGAGCTCTCAAGTGTTCTCTCAACCCAACAGGCGTTAGAGCTGAGAGAGAGGGAAATTAACATTCTCAGAATATTTTCAAACATAAAAATATTAAAAACCTTGGAGTATTGTTTGTATTGTCTGTATTCCACTATTATGTAAATATTTCCACCAATCACGTTTGTGTATTCAGTGCAAAATACTAAATTCTGTACCAAAAGTGGATGGTGCTATAATTTGAGATTTCATGATGCACTAGATCATTTCTTGAAGAATTACATTGAATTGAGATTTCATGATGTAATGAACAACTTCTGAACAAATTGAAATAGAATTGAATCATTGTGGGCTCAGACATTTACTGCTGTAATGCTGAGTCATGTGAGTCATTTTGACTCCTTTGAACAGCACTCTTGTGTCATTCAGAAGCTGCAGCTCCGTGCAGCTTTAGTACTTTTTTCCCCACCTGTAGGCCTCGTTCTACAGCATCATTCGCTCTAGTAGCTGCTGTCCCCAGAGTGCCCTCAGGCGTTCTTTTAGCCCAACAGGCATTAGAGCCGAGAGAAGGGGGGAATTAAGGGGGAACAAAGCTGGCAAGGGAGAAGAGCGGTGACGCTCGACTGTCTGCTCGTCAAGGCACTTCCACTGAGCCGGCTCTAATGAGCAGAGAGAGGAGACTAATCTCTGAGAGAAGCTTAGCTGGAACAAGCAGAGATGCAGGAAGAGTGCATGAGAGAGAGAGACAGATGCTGTTTTGGATGTTTCAGATATTGAGGCCTAATTAAGAGATGGATGCACAGTCCTTGCTGCCGTTTTTGTTTATTTGTCAAACTTCTGTGGAACATTGTAACTCAGGTGTGTCTTCCAACTGTCTCGGGGGTTCTCATTCTTTCCACTCTCCCTCTCTCGAGTTTTGTGTTTGTCGTTTTCATGGTATCATTCACCTACGTGTGTGTGTGTGTGTGTGTGTGTGTGTGTGTGTATATATATATATATATATATATATATATAAACAGGAGGAAAAATCAAACATTAATAATAAATGGTTATCTCTACCCCATTTTTAATATTTGGTGAAGCCTCCCTTGGCAAGAATAACAGAATTAAGATGCTTGGTGAACTCTTGTTGAGGGATCTTGGACAACTCCTCCAGAATATTTTCAGTGTTTAGGGTCATTATCTTGCTGAAATGAATTTCATGACCAAAAATTAAAATTTTTGTCTCATCTGACCTCAGATGATTTCATTTGTGGTTCCAGTGAAATTTGGTAACATTCAGCCACTGCATTTGTGGCCTGTTCTTCTTTTGTGGAACTCCAAAAAGCTGGTTATGTAATGGAGGTGCTGTCTGGATTTTAAAACCCCAAGATTTAATTAAACTGTGCAGTTCTGAAACTGTGATCTTTGGGTTCCTCTTTGCTTCTCTTACCATCCTCCCTTACTTACTGTGCATGGGGGACAGTTCATGCGTTCTCTTCCTGGTGAATAATATTGAACTGTTCCAAAATTTTCAAACATGTTTATTGTAACAATAATTTCAATTGTTTAATAATTTTAATAACAATTTCCTAATCTGTGCAGGTTCACAACATTTTTCTCATTTGAGTTGACATCTCTTTGGTTTTTCCCATGTTGATGGGCAACAAAGAGATTTAATGTGTGTGACCTCATATTTATAAACAAGGGAAACAAGAAATGGTCATAGACAACAGTGAAGTTTCTGGAGACTAGGAGCAACAAAAAAGTGAAAACTTATTTGGTTTTATTTAAAATATTCTTTAGGGGTGCCAGTAATTTTGCCCTATATGTTTTTGAAAGAATACACTATTCTTAAAATAAAACAACATCATCTCAAAGAATGATACTGTTAGATAAATGGTAAGCAATTTTTCTAAACATTTTTTGAGAAACACTTTTTTGAGGGGTGCCAATAAGTTTGGAGTTGACCGTATATTGCTGCGTTACCTGTGTCTAATACCTGTTTCATTGATGCGTGTGTGACTTTATGTGTATGTTTCCTTTTTTTTTACCTGCTGTTTCTCTTTATACCATGCTGGCTCTTACCTCACCTCTTGTCTGTATTCCCACCTTCCCACAGGTGCACAGAATATTTTCCCCCTCCTTGTTTTCCTCTTTCTAATATTCACACATATCCCCTTGTGTGTGTATGCGTATGTGTGTCCCCTGTGCCAGGTGCTGGTTGATGCCCCATGCTCTAATGACCGCAGTTGGCTCTTTAGCCCTGAAGCCCAGCAGGGGGAGCTGTGGTTGAGAGAGCGAGTCCAACTACCTCACTTACAAAAAGAGCTGCTCTGGTAAGTATCTTATCACATCATAAAGTCAGGTGACAGGTAGGCCTGCAACGATTAGTTGTCGAAGTTGATTAGTTGTTGACATCAGTTGTTAAAAAACATTGTCTGCTTTATCATAGCAATCTATAAAGCTATACCGTTTTCATATGATGGGCATTTTAACAGACTGCAATACAATACAGGAAGTGTTAGTGTTGGCTTGTTTTGTGGCACCATAAAAGAACAAACTGCTTGTCACGAGGGCTGTCACAGTTAATCATATAAACTTGATGCATTCTATAAGCAATTGTGTTGCCATGTAATGTTTTATAATTTTTTTAAGGTGTTTGAAAAGCTTTGGTTTTTCCAATAAAGGTAATTTTTTTGTTTTTTAAAAGACTCTGTATGGTTTGTTATTGTTCAGTTAAGACCATCTGTATTATTTGATCTTTTGTAAAAACTTTATTACTCAGTCCTCAAAACGATCGGTAGATTACTTAAGTAATGATATCATTGACAGTGACAGCCCTGCTTGTCACAGAGGCAGCATGACAGCTATTTTATTTGACAATTAAGCAATTAATCTTCAAAATAATCAATACATTTCTTTCATGCCTATATGATACACACAGTCATTGTGTCGTACTGCGATACTGTACAGGAAGTGTTTGGGCCAATATGAGTGTCGTGTTTTCGCACCAGTAAAGAAGTTGTCACTAGGGTGGACATAATTAATCAGTTAAGCTTGGTTAAGTGATAATAATCAAATGAAAAGTATCTTTTTGAGAAGACTGAATTATGAAAATGCATATTTTAAATTCTCCTATTGCTCTTTTACGGTAATAAACAGCATCTAGTAGATGCACGCACTTATGTACATGTTTTGCCACTTAGTGTTTTATATATTTACTTATATATTTATAAGTCTTTCCAGTTAATCTTTTTCCAGTAAAGTATATTAGAATTATTGAAAGGCTCTGCGTGGCTTGTTATTGTTGAGTTAGGTCTGTCTGTATTGTTTGCCCTTTTTAAGAACTCAATTACTTGATTAATCGCCAAAATAATCAGTAGATTCCTCAAGCACTAACATAATCGATAGTGACACAATTACATCACATGGTCTGAATGATGGGTGTACTGTGATGGGGCAGGTAAGAGGAAACAGAGGAAGACAAAGAGGTTCAGTTAGTCAATTAATTGAATTATAGTTATTTAAGGTTAATTGATTATACATCATCAGTTGATGATTAGTTACTTTGTTAACAGCGTTTCACTTCACCGAAGAGCCTGAATTACTGAGGTGCTGACAGCAATAGCTCAGTCCAACACATCATTTAAGCATGTTGTTAATGTCTGTTTGTGTGCCTGTGTTTGTGTTTCAGTTCAGCCTTGGCAGCAGTGCGTCCTGGAGGGCAGGTGGTTTACTCCACTTGCACTTTATCCTGTGCAGAGAACCAGTCTGTAATTGAAGAGGTTCTTACCTCCTGCCCGGGGGTGGAGCATCTGGACCTGGAGGAGGAGCTGATTGGTTCGCTCTCCAAACATTTTACTTTTGCTCACCTTCAGCCTCCACTGGGTCATTTGGTGCTTCCGCAACAGGGAAGAACATGGGGCCCCATGTTTGTATGCAGTCTGAGGAGAATCTCATAAAGACTTTAATTCTCATGGGGTTAGCAGTATTTATTTACAGAACATTTAGGGCTGGGCGTGTATGTATCTCATTTTTTCACCCTACAACATGAACTGTTTTGCCTGCATCAAATAAGCAGAGTATTGTACAACACAAATAAAAATAAATAAAATTTAAAAAGTAATACTTTGGAAAAATACTAAATGTATAAATGTGAAAACTTTATTCTGAGTAACATCCAAATTATATAAAATATATTGGTAGTATTCTGCTGTCAATTTCACTTTTAATCACCATGGGTTATGCAACATTTTATTAACAGGTTATTATGTGAATTTAAAAAAAAAAAAAACTGCAGAAACCTGAATGAGATTTTTAAGGTTAATGAGGCTAAATAAGCTTAAATATGTTTATGTCAGGGATAATGCTGTAGCATTTACCGCTATTAAGAAGACACAGCTTATGCACAAATCATGCTTTTTTAAAAGCTGTAGTGGGCCACAGCCACGCCGTGCAATAAGCAAGGCTTTAGGCTAACAGCAAGTTCTACACTCAGATCATGTCCGCACTCTACTCGGTTACGAGCTCCCACTGACCAGTTCTTTCTGTGCAACACATAAGCACAGCAAAAAAAGGCTAGCCCCGACTTCACATTAAGAGTCCTAGTCAGAATAAACCCAGAGAATAACTGCAAGAGAACAATAACCAGAATACACACGCAGGATGTTTCTCAAAATGCTACAACACATTGTTTCAATACACATTTCAGCTCCACTGAAGGACAAGGAAAACAAGTTGAAATTAAAATGTGTGATATGAAAGTATCATAGCTTTCGTACTTTACCATCTTTGTTGGCGCCTAGTAGTCTTTCACGGTGTGTGGTTGTCTATATATTCTTGGACTTTTGTACATTTTTTTGTCATTTTAAACACTGTAAACATTGTCCCTGAGAGAAACAACAGGCACAATGAAGCAATGAAGTGAGACTTCAAGGAATTCCACTGACTTTTCAAAATGTCTGCCTAACTAAATTGTTAAGATATAAACAAACTCATTTAGAGTGGTTTAATATGAAATGTTCCATTCTATAGAAACAAGTCAGAATTGAGTCTAAAAGCTCCTTTACACAAAGTTTACGAATATGTTGCCTGACGCCAGAGACACTGTTTAACAATAGTTTTAAAATGTATTCTTAACACATTCAGTAGACAATTATGGAGAGCAGTGTAACTTCTGTAACTTCTACAATAACTCTTAAGACGTATAGGTTCACTGGTATTTTTGAATACTAAATTTTTTGGTAATATTTGCATTGTAGACCCTATTTTGGCCCCATATTACCACCACCGTAAAGACATTTAATTGGTAAAAGGGGTCTACAATTGAATTATGGATGTAATTAAATTTTACCGAAGTTTTGAAAAAGGTGGAATTTCTTTTCAACTAGGAAAAAAGTATACAGTGTACAGTGACACAGAATGTCAGTATGTCGCTCTTCTTCAGTAGTTGTTATGCAAATTCTTTTACCTTGATAGTATAATATAGAGAATGTTTCCTTTTTTAGGCAGCATCCTCCAGAAGAATTTCAGTTAGCCTTATCAGGACTAAATTCAGCCTCTACAAAACATAGCAAAACGTTTATTCACCTGGAAACGCTGGTGCGTTGAGCACTGTTGAGGTACACAAGCATTGCAACTATGGCAGCGGAAAAGGCCATTCTTGGCATCTTTCTAGTGTATTCTATTAAAAAAGAAACTTTACACTAAAACACTGACAAGCATCTAATGTCATCTGTTGTTGCGGACATAGAGCTGCAGCAGCCGCATTTGTAAAGGACTTTAGCAGAATCTGTTGTTTGCACTGCCTTTGTAATACGATAAGCTTTATATACATGGTGCTGGTGACCAGGTTACACCTTTGACACACCCATTAAATGAGAGAAAATGTACCTGAAAGCCCGTGGCTCACCGTTTCAAACGTGTGTGGCGAAACGTCGTTCAACCTGGAAATCATAGCAAAATGGTGCACAATGTTTTGAGATTGAATATACCTCAGATAAACCTCAAAGGTTGGGGTTCATCTTTAGATTGTCTTAGTAGGTGGTTGATCAGATATGAATGTTATCTTTGTCTAGAGAGTGTGTTAAATATGAAAAGCGATTTGTGGGTCAAATCTTCCATCCAAACAACAATGCATGCAGTCCAGTAATGTGAAAAATAAGTGCATATTAAATAACATAACTATATTATTTAATTACATTACATTAAAACTAAATATATAAGAATACTAGGAATAGAAAACCTACCACATCACACAGATCTATAGCATGTTTAAACCTGCTGCAGCAATCTAAAAACAAAAAGGTAAGTAAAAGTAAGAACAAATGTAGCACTGGGGAAACTTAAAACTCCCAGGCATTGCCACCAGTCTCCCTTAAACGTACCACGTTGCATTCATTTAAATATGAATGTAAAATTGGTTTTAGATATGAATTTCAAAATATAGTCAGCTCTAGAAATATTGTCACCTTTGGGTCAAAAAAGGTTTGAAAATGTGGTTAATTACCTCAATCAGACTGAGAATACAAGAACAAAATTACATTTTATTTAAAGAAACTTAGTCTGAGAAAACAAAAACATTATCAAAGTATATGTTTTAACAAAAGCACATGTTATAATTATTGGCACCCCTGCATTTAATAGTTTGTTTAACCTCCCTTTGACAACATAACAGTAATAAATCTCCTTCTGTGATGCTTGATTGGAGAATACAGAGCAAGTAATATGAGACCACTCTTCAATACACAGCCTCTCCAAATCTTTGAGTCCTTCATCCTCTCTTCTGAACCCAGTCTCAGGTCCTGCACCAAAATGCAGGGGAGTGGCTAAAATAAGGCTCCACATATAGACTAAAACTCTTTGTGTTTCAATAGTTACATAAAAATGTGGTAACTTATGATAACTCTAAATCTTTAAAAGGAAAAAAAGAAATCAAAAAGATATTTAAAAAGCAACATTGAAAAAAATGTAAAAATTCTTTTCACAAGCTGAAATTTGTATCTGTGGAGGACACTGAACAAAATCATCATTTATAAGTCAATCTACAATCTATTGGGATGTGTCTGTCCCAAACCCTAACACCTCCCAACAAAATATACCCTATAAATGATGATTTTGTACAGTGCCCTCCACAAATACTGGCACCCCTGGTAATAATTAGCAAAAATAAGCTGTAAAAATGTTCTTAATTACTTATCCTTTTTGATCTTTCATTCAAAATATTAGTAAAAATGAAACATTTATATAAGGTATAACGATTGAAAGAAAAAAAAATCTTGTCATGAAACAAATATTTTTCTTAAATCCATATGTGCCACAATTGTTGGCACCTTTAGAAATTCTTATTAGTGAGATCTAAATTAAGTTTTATTTTGTTTTTTATGTTTTAAAGTTCACCTGAGCAATTAGGAACATTCATGTCAGCCATGACTTTCTGATTCACTGAGGAATATATATGAGATGAAACACAGGCCAAATGCCCTCAGTCATCCATCGTTATAAGAAAAAAATAGAGTACACAGCAGCGATCTGCGACAAAAGGTTGCTGAGCTGCACAAATCAGGAAATGGCTACAACGTTAATCTGCCGGGAAGAGGATGTATGTTAGTGCTGACTAGCTGACTACATGCCCAGTGAGGAGGGTGGTTTGAGTGGTCAAACAATCTCCAAGGATAACAGATGGGGAATTGCAGTCATTAGTTAGGTCCTGAGATCAGAACGTTTCCCAAACCACTTTCAAACACCACCTATAACCACAAACAGCAGAAAAGTATCTCCACTGTGAAGTATGGTGGTGGATCTGTAATACTGTGGGGCTGTTTTTCTTCCGAATTTTTTCTTCTGTATTTTGTCTTTAAATTCACTCACTTTTGGCATGAATTGAGTTGATGGAATATATTTTATTTATGTGGTGGCGAGGGAGAGCCACCACCTTTTCCCACCACATGACGCATGCTCCTCTGATCAGGCACAGCTGCACTCTGAGAGGGAGAGAGGACTCTGGCCTGCCGGCCATCTGTGCGCCAAATGCCAGAAAGAGTGGAAATAGAGACTTATAAGAGGACGAAGGACTCTTTATATCCACGCTGAGTAAGCCATGTTTATGTTTTGGTTTATTTTCACTTGCATATGTGTAAATAAGCCACTTTGATTCACTCACGCTGGTTTTTGTGTCTGTCTCTAGGCTTTCATTACGTTTCCCAGTCAGTCTGCGTCAGTGCCTACCCCAACTGTCCCACAATGTGGAACTCATTCACACATCAGGTAAAGTCAGCATACTATTTTTTCAGTGTAGGTGCAGATGTTTGTACCAATGAATGAAGTAATTTGAAAACTTGGGTGGGTTCAGCTACAACCCTGTTTCCAAAAAAGTTGTGCAAAATGTAAAACAATGCAATGATGCAAATCATTGAATCATATGTCAAATCAAATTTACTTTAAAATAGTATAAACACCTCAAACAACACATCAAATGTTGAAACCAAGAAAATGTATTGTTTTTTGAAAAATATATGTTTTGAATTTGATGCCAACAACACAATTCAAAAAAGTTGGGACAGGGACAACAAAAGACGAGTAAAGTTGTGTAGTGCTAAAAAAAACACCTGGTGGAACATCTCACAACAAATTAGGTTAATTGGCAACAGGTCAGTAACATGATGGGTATGAAAAGAACATCCCAGAGAGAGTCTTTCAGAAGTAAAGATGAAAGACTGCACAAGCAAATAGTGCAACAATTCAAGAATTGTAAAAGGAAAAATGTTTGTGTCATAATGGAGGAGATGTCCATCTTAACTGAGCAAAAGTTATCTTGTCAGAAAAGTGATAAAACTGAATTTTGCTTCTCCACCCGGTATTACGACTGCTTGGCTGTGTTGACATTGAAGGGGTGGTTTTTCATATAGCAGCTTTTAAGACATAAAATGGAGGAAGTGCAAACACCAGCAATTTCTAAGCACCAACCTTTACAAATTACTTCCTGAACACATAAGAAAAGCAGCATAGAAGGCAGTCATTCAGGACAATGGATTAGATGTCTTAACTAAACGTCAGTTGAGCTTTGGTCTCCATCTCAGTCACTGCTGCTAGCTGCCCCACAAGGAATACCTTCAAGAACA